ATGTATTCACTCATAAAACTTCCATTTTGGTAAACATGTAAAATTGTGAATCGCGCACAAGAATTGTATTATTCTGGGGCCTCATCATCAACGGCCCGCAACCAAGGGGGGGGGGGTTAACAAACGTATCCATTGATGTAATAGTATGAGTATTTTGGCGAGTTTTATATATTCTGAATAAATGATCAACTTGTACCTAAACTTCTAAATAAAAATACAGGGTGTTACATAACGAAGACTATTAGTAAAAAAAATCGGATGTAACGTTCAAATGCAAACCATTTGTAACTTTCACTCTTGGTCTAAAGTAAAATGGGAAGTCCTATATCATTACATACATTATAAGTCTTATCTTATCTTTTAGACGTCGCACGGGCGCCAGCAGAGTTTCATCGCAGAGATGAAAGTTCCCGATATGTTGGCGATTTTTTCTCAACCAAACTCATCGGTACCTTCCCGGCCGTGTCCCATACGGCCATCGTACGATTATCTTACGGTTCTCGGCGGCATCGTAGGGTCATCCAGGGGTTTTATTTAATTTTACACACTGATTTGTTTGATAATTCTTAATTATAATTACTAATATGGTATAAAAAATTTAAATATGATAAGGCTAGGAAATATAATTTCCCAGAACTTTTATCTGAAATATAAAAGAACGAATAGTATAACGAAATACAATTAAAACAATAACACATGTGGGTGGTGTGTGTGGGTGGATCTTTTCATACTTATTAGCTGCTTGTCAGTCTTTTCATTTAATCCTGTTGAACAGGATGATATATTTTTTATCCTATGCCAAGTAGAGTTTTAGGGAGATAAGTTGGTAAGATATATCCCGTATTCTGATTTTGAGGTTTCCATATCCAGAACCTCCATATCTCCCGCTTCGGTGCATATCTTCCCGCTTCCGGTAAGTAGTGGAAATGCAATAAAATGACTTTGCATATGAATGATTTGTTTGTACACCTTGTACTATTAAGGGGCATAAGCCCCTGAAAACTCTACTTGGTATAGGATAAAGAAGTTATGTACGGTCGGTTTGGATATTGGGTTCATCCCTCGTGAGATATGCACATCTACCTTCGGTCCCTACGGTCCCTCAGGTAGATATGCATATCTCCCTCTGGATAAACCCCATATCCAAAACCTCCCAGTACATAACCCTTATTTTAAATCCGTATATTCGATTCAATCATGCATACGAGACATGTGTTCAGTAAATAGAAAGGGATCACTTTATTGATGTTTTTTCTGTTATGTAGTAAAAGGTCTAACCCGTGAAAATAGAATAATCACAATTTTTGAAGAACACTGAATTGCTATGCATTTTTTTAAATGAAAAGAAAATAGAACTTTACCATTGAAAGCAATGTTAATTAAACTAAAACATAAACGGTCAATTTTCACATATTTAGTTATACATCTACATTAGTAGGCCTTTATCTTTCACCTTGAATTGTAGGTAAAAATCGGTCGACACTGAAGTTCTATCTTAATTCTTCCCACACATAATGTTTTCTACGAGATCACCTAAAAATATGAAGGGTCAAATTGGCAAAGTATCAATTTCAATTTGTGGAGTCAAGTTGTCACCTTGACAAGCTGGAATCGGACACACCTTGCCTTATATAGCTATGTGTGAAAGTATATTTAACAGGACATTTTATTTGTTCTCGATCTTGTTTCACTGGTCAGTATCAAGCGAAAGTAACGATTGTAACCTTCGCATCTAAGATGGCGGATGGTGATTGTCGAATTCGATATTTTAAGTTTTCATTGAATTAAAGTACGTTATAGTTGACGTAATGCTTTGATATTTGAACAAAATCAGGCATGACATGACATGGGAACTATGGTATGATAATCTGTGCATATATCGAGCGCGGGCGCCACAGTTCAAGCACTGGTGATCCACTCGATTACGCTGGTTACCGAAACGGTTCGTTTTGGTAACAAAATGTCGGAACGTCGAAGGTACGATTTTTCTGTTTTCTTTATTCCACGCGTTGTAGACAGAATCCCCGCGACGTTTTTTCTCACAAACGTATATCAGTATCATATGTTTTAGAAAATGTTCAAGTTTGCGAAAAAATAGCTCAGAAGACAACAGAATCGTCGATTTAATTCCTCACTTAAGTTACATAAACGGTTTGGGTTAAAAGTGTAGATCTTAACAGTTTTTCGAAAAACCGTTTATGTAACTTAAGTGAAGAATTAAATCGACGATTCTGTTGTCTTCTGAACTATTTGTTCGCGTACATTTTCTTAAACATGTAATACTGATACACGTTTGTGTTAATAATGTCGTGGGAATTCTGCCTAAAGCGTGTGAAATAAGGAAAAGAGAAAAATCGTACCTTCGACGTTCCGACATTTTGTTACCAAAACGAACCGTTTCGGTAACTAGCGTAATCGAGTGGATCACCAGTGTCAAGGATATCTTGCACCGCTCAATGGAAGGTAACTGGTAACATTGTGTATAACCCAGACGCTCCTACATACACGACGGAGCGTTTCATTACTGAATCTAAACAACGTGGGTAATGTTCGATGGTCATGTTAGTTTTCAATACACTGTAACTGGACATCTTAGCTGTCCATTATAATTCTCATAACTGCATCACTCTATATCAGTTATCTTATCATCTGTAATACCAAAGTCCCAGTTAGGTTCATGATTCCCTGAAGCGGTGGAATATATTTATTTATTCTTCAAGTACATCCACACCCCTTGGGGTCAAGTACATGTACAAACAAAAAATTATAACAATTATAAAGGAAGGAAAAAGAAGACATTTACATGTAAAAAAAACTATTAGTATTACTATTAATGATGATGATGCATTGGTGCACTATCTAGAGATATAGCTATTGGAACTGGATGTAAATATATATTACTAATCACGACACAAAGTTGGAAATATTGTATTTGAATTGGATTTACACTTGGCTTTTGAAGAATAAATGTTCGGGCCTTTACAAGTAAGTAAGTAAGTCTTATGTTCGATTTATATTAGAAACACGAACCCGCAAACTGTTTCAGAGGCTGTATTCATATTTCTTTATTTTCTATTGAATTCAAGTCTATTGAATTGAAGTGTAAACTTAGTGAATGCATATCATCAATATAGTATTGTGTGATTTATCCATAGGCACGCAATTTAAGTCAATACTTGAAATGTATTCATTCATTTATTTTGTAGAAAAACATCAACCACATTTTGATCCACTTTATGTTTGATTTATACAGATTTATACAGACATACATTCGCCTCCATAAGTTTGTGGCAATCCCAACTCCCCTATTGGATTATGTGTTACAGCCTCTTCATGTTTTTGTAAAGGATTGGTATCGATATGGTGAACTGAATTCAACAATGTTTTTCTCTTAAATCAATTATTGAAAACATCCTGTAAAAAATACGGTCCTTTATGTAATGTTGACTGATTGACAACAATTTAATGCAAAAACAATTGATATAAATTTTATTTAACTGTTTTTGTTATAACATTTTTTGTTTTTTAGTGCAATTGTTTTTTGTTCCTTTTTACCTGTTCTTGAGAATGAAATAAAATATCTTTCCGAAGCTTGTTAGAACAAACTAGCATATACAACATTTTCCTAGACCTCTCAATATTATAGTTATACAAAGGATATTTTGGTTGATTTAACAAAAAGTATTCAAAAATTAAAACAAAACCCCCAAAATAGATAAAAATTAAGATAAGCCTTTTATTTCATTAACAGGATACTTTTTTAAAATCAACCAAACTTTCCTTTGTACAATTACAATATTGAGAGACCTAAACACAATTGTGTTTATGTCATTTTATTCCAATGAGGTTCGGATAGATGTTTCATTTCATTCCGAACATATCATACCAAGAACAAAAGAAGTGTCTGATGTGTTTTCTAAAACAATATAGAGAAAAGTATATATATATATTTCAAATTATATTGTTAAAATTCAAAAGATGACCATTAAATTGACAATGTGTAAAATTTTCAGAATTTTTTGATGACTGGTTTAAGAGAAACGTGTGTTCAAAAAGTTCACCACATCGATACCCATCCTTTTTATTTGAATAATCGATCTGTAAAGAAAAAACTTCTTTTAGGACTGGACATATAAATTGAAATCATTTGCAATACCTCCAATAATTTACCAATTTCATCATTTACGTCGTAAATGATGAAATTGGTAAATTATTGGAGGTATTGCAAATGATTTCAATTTATATACTCGGAAATAAATGACAAATCTGATGAAATGTGATGACAGCCATTACACCTCATCAGAGACATTCCCTTGTTAACTTATGGTTTGCCGCAAATCATATTACGGAATATCAATCCATCCAAATTCTCTTAAGTAGATAATTAAATTTGCTATTATAACTTTATTCAACAAAAACTTCAGATTTAAAGGAATACAAAGTCTAAAAAACCTCCCTCTGAAAAAACACAGGAGGCGAAAAAATATTTTCAAAAATGACTTTGAAGCTCTGTAACTTTAGTGTTTAGTAAACCAAGCACTTAGCGTACAAAAAAGTTATATTAATTCAATTTTCTGAATAAAAATATGAATGATGATTCTTTTCCTTGATAGATATCCTAAAATCTTATTTGTCCCGAACCCACCATTTCTCATTGGTTTACATGGGAATGACAATTTTAAAAAATCCAACAACTTTGTCATCAATTTTCGACATATTGTAACCTGGGAAAATTTTGGAAAATTTGAAGCTTAAGGAAATAAAATCAATTTGCATTTCTATTTTATTACAAGTATTTTATAACTAATATTTTATATAACTAAAACTTGTACATAAATAGCTATAAACGTTAACATGTATAGTCAAATGGGTGAGTAAGGGTTGCCAAACTTACGGAGATGATTGAACTTTTAAAAATAGGGCATGTTAACCTGTTTTCACGTAGTTAAACATTTGTCACCTCTATGCTATTCATATGTTTTTCTGCACAGTCAATTCTTTTTGCCTTGAACAGACGTTACAATATTTTTATAGTCAATATATATTTAACAGCCAGTTTTGGGATTTTCTTACTAATCTTTCACACAGACGGTCATTCAACAATCGTTTAGCTGCAGTGATGTTGCGCGGATTTTGAATATAATTGAAATGTAAGCTGTGAGGTGGACTATACTTCATCTACTAATCATACTAAAAACCCGGGACTAAAAATAATTTTCTTACTAATCTTTCACACAGATTGACGGCCATTCAACAATCGTTTAGCTGCAGTGATGAATATAATTGAAATGTAAGCTGTGGAGTGGACTATACTTCATCTACTAATCATACTAAAAACCCGGGACTAAAAATAAGCTGTTCAACAAAATCATTTAGTTTTGATAAGTAAAATGGTCAATTTTAGAGTTAAGCTGTTTTTAATATGGGTTTTTCTGGTTTCATTGTATATTTGTCAGTATTTTTTATCAAGCCTATATAGTCAAAATGAAATTAAACTAAAAAGATGGATTACGAACGGCATGGCGAATGTACTCACCCAAGACTCACAAAAACGGAAACATCATAAAATTTTATGCTGGTTCTTGACAAGTCCTGATGTTCTGGAGAAAAAGGCAAGACACGTGAGGGACACATGGGCAAAACACTGCGACATAGATTTGTATATGAGTTCCAAAGAAGACAAGACATTTCCAACAATTGGATTAAACGTTACTGAGGGGAGAGAGCACTTAGCTGAGAAATCTAGATTAGCGTGGACTTATGTCTACGACCATTATTTTAACACTGCTGATTATTTTGTAAAAGCAGACACAGATACCTTTATAGTTGTGGAAAATTTGAGAAAAATGTTACAAAACTACGACCCGAAAAATGCAGAATTTTTTGGACATATGTACTATATAAATGGAAAAAGAACAGAAGACAAAATGATTATGGCCGGTGGGCCCGGAATTGTCGTGAGCAAGGAAGCATTGAGGAGATTGGTCATGCTCGGAATAAAGAATGCTACGGGAGATTACAAATGCATTCCCGATGGGGGTAGTAAGTTATACGTTTTTTTTTGTTTATTGATGTAACATAAATACATTGTGATATAATTCCAATACGATATCTAGGATTCACCCCATGCAGACTGTGCTATACAAAAACAATCGGTGCGGATTTATGTGCGCGCATTGCGGATTTCAACGGTCAACAGAGTGATTTCGCAACTAACTTATAGCATGTTTGTTATTCCCGTATAACTTATAAAGCGTCACTATATATTGAGCATATGTATACGTCCAAGTGTGATATTCTTATAAAACATCGTCTTTACGCAAGAATATCACATTCATGGACGTGTAGAGCTGCGTAATAAATGATGACGTAACCACATAAGTTATAATTATACGTTACGGGAATAATAATCATGCTTTGTCATGTATGTGAGCTGCGAAATCTCTATTTTTGGATTTGAGTTTGTTATATTTCATAAACCAAGGCATGTTGGGTACTCATTATATTCATATTTCTCTAGCTCTGTAGAAGATACCTAATAAAAAGAATTAATATGTGTATATTTTATTCTCTTTAAGCATTAAACCTGGCCGGTGCTGACATACCAAAATCAATAGATAAACCCAAGACGCAGTTTTTTCTTATTGCATTTTATGCTATCGAAACAGTGTATGTGGTCCGATCATGTGACAATAGCATTAAAACAAGTCACGTAATCTCTGTTAGTCGACGAACGGGTTATTCGCTATTTCAACTTTAAAATGATGGTTTAATTAAATGTTATTTAGGTCAGGTATTGGGGTTGACTCGATAGCTGTCACGATGCACGGTGGGAACTATTCATATCTAAATGGGTCATTAAATTACAATCAACCCGGCAGCCGGTAGTTGCATTAGAGGCATCGGCTAGACCTTGATATTGCGACTTTATTGCGGGTAGCAAAGGGTACGTAAAATACGTATATCAAGGCGCTTTCAATGCGATTGCTTCTGCGAATAAGAATTTTAGCGATTTTGGCGAATGCTTTTGCGATGTCGCATAGAATGCTACACATTGTGAATAAGACCTCTGCTTGATATTGCAACTAGTATGGTGCCAATCGCTATATTGACCTCATTATTTCAGTTGAGGATGTCAAGACGTGTACCTGCATGTACAAGACGGGGTCTCGACCTGTTAACTCCACGGATGACAGTGGGAGGGAGCGGTTTCTTGTTTGGCCTCCGCATAGTTACATATTACGTCTGCTACCAAAATGGTACCAAAACATTGATGGCGATAAAGGGAAAAATCAGGTAACATTTTAGAATTACGTTTTTGAAAGCCTTTTCTATATTTTCTAAATTAATTGTGTGTACGAAGCTTTGTAAGAGACACAATTTTTTTAAATTTTTTATTAAAAACCCATTAGATATTGTTCTAGCTTTATCAAAAATTTTGCCTCTTGTATGTATGTATATATTTATTGCCCTTTATATAAAGGAGATACATGTATACAAATTATGTAAATGTTAAATTGAAAATAATCACTATTTACAAACAAACAATATTGCTGTTTTTGACTGACGACGACGCCTAGCTACCGCGTAGACGCACGTCGCCGACCAAAATTGGCCTAGCACCTAATTGTAACGCAATTATAAAAAATGACTATATTTTACAAACATTCATTGTTTTGTTGTTGTTTTTTATACTGACGACGACGCCTAGCTACCGCGTAGACGCACGCCGTAGGCCTAGATAGACCTGTTACCTAACACTCTTGAGATTAATAAAATATGACATTATGGATCTGCATTTTCTATAAAATTAAAAGGAAGACATACATGCATCTGAACGGCTGCAATTTGTTGTTGCTTTTTTGTACTGACGACGACGCCTAGCTACCGCGTAGACGCACGCCGTAGGCCTAGATAGACCTGTTACCTAACACTCTTGAGATTAATAAATAATGACATTATGGATCTGCATTTTCTATAAAGATAAAAGGAAGACATAGCATATCATCATACCTTCCCCAAGGTCGGTACTGCAGTACTGTATGAAAGTATGAGATGCTTTCAATATCTTGTAAGCTAGTAAAAGAAATATACAATTTTTTGTAAATTGAAGAAAGGTGGTGTTGCCCTATGGTGCAATTCTAAATAAGTGTGTATAGTAAGTGTACATAAATATAAATACAAATATGCGAGTAAAACTAAAATGTATTTATAGCTGCTTAAGAGATATAAATTTTCAAAATTTTCAATTAGAAATAACATGAATGAGTTTTAAAATCTGGATTTTTCTGAGAAATGGGTCCTCTCGATTAATCTAATTTAAATCGTAGTGTGTCGACTGTCGGGTTACTTTTAGAGATATAAGCGTCCATTTATTGTCAGTACTCAATCTTAATCTTAAAATTTATTGAAACAAATCATTCAAAGTCAAAATGATCAATTAAAGTTCTTTGATTTTCCAGGGAGTGGACTGTTGCAGTGATCATCCAATTGGGTTTCATTACATTTATCCCCAGCTGATGCATACCATGTATTACCTGTTTTATAAAACAAAAGTGGATGCAACATTTCGTAAACAGCATGTCGATCTGAATAGTAATGTTACTCAAATCGTTTAGGAGGACAATATATAATGCAGTCATCACTTTAATACTTTTACTGAATGAGTTACTGAATGAATTCCGAAAGAACACGTGGAGAGAGATTACTAAAATGACCATCGCCGAGATGGGAAATCTGTTTAAACAATTATTAGGAGTTTGGGGTATTTTCTCCTATGTGCGTCCAGCAAGATTTCAATTATATGCTCCTTTATATTAGTAACCTTTTTTTCAATATCAAAAATATTCCCGGTGAATAACACCCGTGAATATTTTTGATATTGAAAAAAATATCGCATTGTCCCGCCCAATCCCGCTCATGAAAATCGTATTCACCTCCAAATCACGCTCACGAAAATGGTATTCACCTCCCGCGAATTTTTTCCAAAGAAAGATTCCTATAACATTCAGTTGGGTCGATATAGCGTACTATAATGATGTTCTTATATGAGAAACGATATTTTCCAAACAAAATTGAAAATATAGATTTTGCAACATAAGAACTATGTGGATTAAACCTATTAATAGGCAAATTGTAATCTCATCATCATGCTCTGACACGGACAGTCAATGTCATAGAAATTTGAGCAATATGCGAATGCCCTGAGATGGACATGTTTACCTACTGTTAATTTTTTAATGTTGATGTGTTTATCATGTTGTACAATAAAGTTGTTATGTAAAGTTAAGTCAAATTTTGTAGACTAAATAGTAGCCGGGACAGAACAAGTTCCAAGTCTGTATATTTACTCTCATTCCTTCACTTTTAGCATATTCCCTGGAGAAATCCTAACATAGAATTTATTTGGTTTTAATTCATGTAATTTATTTGTTAAATATAGGGAAACATTTAATTCTTATTGGTCTATAATCAAAATTTGCCATTTTGTGCAACAAATGCAACATCTTTAAAATAAATCATGAATCTTCATTAAAAAATTATTTTATTCCAAGCAGACATTTCGCATTTTTATTTCATTAGATTTTCATATTTGCTAACCTCACTGCATTACTATACCTTGATCTATATTTAAAAATATATTTTACATGAGCAATAACTTATGGTCTTAGGTCATGAAAAACATGTTCAATGGGATGGCCCCAGAGTGCATTATTCAAAATGTCCTATAAAACTCATTCAAACATGTATTTCTGTGCGATAATGCAATGTTTAATGGCCACCTGAACATTATTTTACAATATATTATGGTTTCATAATGAACTGAGCAGTACCATTACTGGTAAAAGAGTGAAGTCATCACAGTGCATTATGATTTTGTAAAGAACTACACATGTAATGTAACAGTATTTAAATTGCAATAAGAATCCTGTATCTTACTTTATTGGATTTAAAAGTATTCATGAATGTACTAATTAAACCTATCCTCATAATCATTCTGGCTACACCCTCGTGCATTATGTGTTTGGGTTTGTACATGCACTTTTAAATTTCCAATAAAGAATGATACAGGATTCTTAATTATTATCATTTAGTCTTAATTAAGCTTTGACAAATATATAATAAATAGTACCATGGGTACTAGGCTCACATGTTGTAAGGGCTTCCAAAAGACCATTGTTAAACCTTTGAAAGTCATGTTTAAACTGAAGATTGAAAATATAACCTTTAAAATAAGAACATGAATAATTTCAAGCAAATAAGCTTTATGGAATATTTCTAGGCTAACCAATAAGGGCCAAAAACTTGATTTTGTGAATAAAGTGGTGGCAATTCTAAATTTCTATAAGATATTTGCCAAAACTTCTAGACATTGGTAGCCTATACATTTAGCTGCCGGAATAATTTCAACAATAAAAACAGAGCCCATTCTAAATATTTGCCACATATTTTGCTGAAACTTGCAGATATTATTATTAACCTAAAGAAAATCTTGTCCATGGACAAATGCTGAAACACAGACTTTGGGATATTCCAACAAAGAAAGTGGCAGCCATTTCGAATCTTAGGTGAAAGTTGGAGGCATTATTGTTAATCTATAAAATAAAGTATCTGTACAATTTCAAGCAAATTGGAAGAATTCTTGTGGACTTATGACCAAAAAAGTTGAAACCTGATTTTTTGGCAATAAAAATGGAAGCCATTTTGAGCGGAGACAAGCTTTTGAAACACCACTAATGGACCATTTATAGAGACATATATAAAAAGAGGAACCATTTGAATTGTCATGGAGGATCTTAAATAAGTTACAGAAAAATGTGTGATTGCAATAGCTCACACCATTTGAGCTAATAGTTATTAACATTATTTACATTATCATTAACATTATTCCAATTGGACATACTTCAATGTTTTACTAATAGTTATCAGAAAGTGGATGCAAGACAAATATACACAAAATTGAAATAAAATAAATATTTTTTGATATCAAATATTCGATCCTTGTAATAACAATCACTTACTTTACCAGGGGGTCACTGACAGAAACTTCATAAAGTTATGACTCCTAAATCAAGATGAAACTAATCTTGTCTAAAATGACATCAATAGACATTTTTCTGTTCTGTAGGCCAATCAAATTTTCAAAATCCATCAATTTTTTGAGAGTTTATAATATATTGCACCTACATATACAGCGAGGCTTCCTGATATTGAGTCAAATCATTGTCTGTCAGATGATTACATTTCAAACTATTCGGTCTTCACTCATAGAGTTATTCCATGTTTATCTTGGTACAGTTTTTTTGGGACACCCTGTATAAATATGATATTGATAGAACGTTCATACTGTTAAACTAGTGTATTCCTTCAAGTAATACAGGTATATAATACATTGATGGATCAAGTCTGAACAATTGTCACTTATCTTTTAATAATTCAAGATCTACATTTTTATCTGTTCTACCTGCATCCACTTATAACTATAGCAAAACCTTAAATGAATACTTTTAATACTATTCTATGTCCTCCTGGTGCTGAACTGGAGCTGTTATATGTTCAACATGAATCATATTACCCGGTGCCATCTCAGTATCATCTTGTACAGACATAAGAACATTTGCACCTTGAGTACCATTATCCTGGTTAGGGGAATTTTGGTCCCTGGCATCATGGTCCTCTATATTTGATTCTAAAACTGGGCCATCATTGTTATACTCCACTTTGTACATTTCACCATTAATCTCAATATAATCCCCTGATGAAAGTTGGACGGCTTCACGCGATTCGCTCGTTTCAGGGTCAACCATTTTAATTTCTGTAGTATTCTCATGAGCTGGGGGCATATTTTCAGACATAACATATGATTGATCATTATGATGGTTCATTGTTATTGGCTGAGACTCCTGGTGTGTAGGGCTGTTATTCTGTGATGTCATAATGGTATTGAGCTGTTGTCTGTCAATTATGATGTTCGACTGTGTGGATGTTGGCCTGTTTGGCAACGTTTGGAGGCTCTGAAATATCATTTTTTACCATATTAATAATTATTTAAATACAACCCATCTATTGTACCCTATGGAAACATCCTCCGATCACAGGGCTTCAAAATCCAGAATATATTCTTTCTTTTTACCCCCTGCGATAAGCAGTTAGCATTTCCCCGATTAAGAACTAGCAATCTGATTGGCTGTCGCAACACTGCGACAGAAATCATGTATAAGTCATTGCGCATAATTAGATCACGTGATTCAGTTTAATCGGGCGCTTCCAAATTGGTTATAGCAGGGGGAAGAAGGAAGTACGGATTCTGGATACCTGCTTAGGAGGATGTATGGAAATTGCCAATTATTATTTCACTTCAAAATCAGAATAATTATAAACTATAGGGCTATTACTCTATAGGGATATTAAGTTATACTCTTCAGACAATAGAATTGTGAAGAAAACCAGATAACAAGCAAGAATAGCACATAAACTGAGATATAACATTGAAAACTTAACAATTACCTGAATAGCTTCAGCTGCCTCTAGCTGCCTAACATCTTCATAGCTATGTAACTGGACCTCCTCTTCATGCTCCTCTTCTTCCACTTGAAGGTCCAACATGACAGGTCCCTCCATAGACTGTGAACCAATCTCGCCATCAACTACAACCATAGTGGAGTCTGACACTGCTTCATCCTTCATAGTCACCTGCAGCATATTCAATCACAAAGGTTATATCTAGCAAAAGATAAGACATTCACACATAGCTAGGCAAGGTGTGTCTGATTCCAGCCATTCAGAACAGAGTATTCACATAATGAACAGTGTGTGAAATATCGATAACACATGCAAGGTCACCAGTTAAACAGTTGTCATGGTGATGAATGGACTTCTCACATTGGATTTGATGACTTGCCAACTCGACCCTTGCAAAAAATGTCATTGAAAATGTGTTCTTCTAGTGAATTTGTTCCTATGAAATGATTTTGGAGAAAATATTTTGCAATGTGTGAAAAGAATTTAAGCCCAAGACTCAATGCATTGTAGCTGCTTCATTCCACTCAGGCGTTGTTTCCTAAACTTTGCATTCCCGCTGCACAGTCATGCATAGATTTGGAAACAACACCTTCTTGGTATGACTCAGCAAACAATGCAAACAATAAGTCCAGGGCTTAAATCCTTAGTATAACCATGCAATATGTTGAATAATACATGACTGTGATTCCAGCAAGTCACAAATTTCACCTATGATACAAGTGAAGAAGAATTTGAATCGTAGAATATAGGTAATATAAAATTAAAGGTCACATATTGACCACCTCATCCCCTTTTATATAAGGGACAGTTTACAATTCACAAAAATACAACTGTTGAAGAAGAGAGAAATGAATCAATAATCAAGACCACGAAGGCCAAAGGAAGCATATCCTGTTTTATATTTCATGAAATGAAACAAAATTTAAACTATGCATGACCCAAGATTTGGCTGAAATACTTGAAGATGGATTCTGAGGTAAGCATCATGTGAGAAATACAAGACTTAACATTTCCTACTGATAGGATAATAATCATCAATTGTGCACCTAATAACAGTTCCAGTCACTTCTTTAAACATAAAAGTTACAGCAACAGAAGCAAGTTATTTCTGGATAGGGAGAGGTAATCCAATCCCAAGACATTCATTCTTGAACTGAAAATAAATGAATCTCTCTGACATGATTGGATAGATAAGGTCACTTGAGAAGAGTGGCAGGGTAAAAGAGGTAACTATTGGTAACAAACATATATGAGAAGATAGCAGTACATTTCTTGAAGTTTCCATTTTATGTTCAGTATTCCACATCTTGCAAACTACAGATCAAAGGTAATGTAAAATACAAGTTCTTTTTAAGATCTTGCCATATTTATACTATTATTGAGGCCAAACATTATCAACATAATCTCTGAAGATATCAATGCAGACTGTGTTTCATTTAAATAAGTGCTTTTTCTATCAATAGTAATAATTCGATTCATCTTTGAATGAGTAGGGGGTGGGGGGGGGGGTGTACTCAGTCTTGCAGCAAGACTATTGAATGAGTTATTTTTTCCTAAAATGGATTTTGAAGGGGTTAAATGTTTTTCAAGATGACCTCTGACCTGAAATAACCTTTACAGAAAACAAATAGAAATTTCAATTTTGACCACCTTGAAGTGTAAGTTTATGTACTTGGTAAAGGTATTCTAGTTATCATGTAAACTATATAGAGCAGCAGGCCCGTAGCCAGGATTTGCCAAGGGGGGGGTTCAGTTGTCAAAAATTTTCAGGGGGGGGGTTCACATTTGACAATTTTGGCCCAAATATGACTAAAATCACTTGAAAAGTGCTCAAAATGGTGAAAAACTGCATGATTTTGAAAGAATTTTTGAACCCTGCGAACCCCCCTGGCTACGGGCCTGTAGCAGTGAACACAAGTTGAAAGTATAAAATAGAATGAGATAATGACCAAAAAGACAGATTTTGACCTTTACTGCCACACCCATTTTCAAATGGCATTTTTGTAAAAATCATCAATTAAAGATATATTGTATAATGAAGTGCCACAGCTATGCCCATTCTTCTATTGAGTACCACTATTTTAGGAATGAAAGTATCGAAAAAATAATTACACTTTTTACAAAAACAAATTTAAATTGAGTGGCCATATTGAAAATGATATTTGAGTTATCACCCATCCAAACAACATACAAATGAATGAACAGATCGATGAAAGCATGGATGGACAGTTCTATAGACAACTTTTTAATGTTAAGCCTCCATAAACAAGCCACATACTAAAAACTGGCACTCACACGCACCTTTTAAACGGCATATTGGTACCAAAGGACATATTGAATCATTTATTTTCTTTAAGAAATCTACTTTACAGCTCTTGTTTGCTAATCTGATAATGTTTGGTTATTTTTAAGGTCAGAACTCAACAGCGGTGAATAAATAAGAATTCTGCAAAAGAGATGGAGATATCGAAATTTCAGAAAACTATGGAGAACAAAGTCATTACCTGTGTCTGTCAAAACATTCCATTCCATACTATGATGACAATAGATGCCATTGTATGCATTACAAGTGATAAACGCAACAATACCACAGTAAAGATACATCAAACTCTAAGTAAACAGAGACAGGGCGCACAAATTCACACTACAGGAGTTAGTGATGTTGATGCCATTACAAATATACACAATGCAATAACTGAATTTGCAAAAGAAAATATTCTGTATGGTCCTTCAATGGATGTGTATGGTATTGTGTGTATAACTAAAGAACAAAACAAAGATATCATTGTGAAAATTAACAAAACATTTGTCAATCAACAGATAATGGAAGATGTATGCATTCTAAAAGCTGATGACCAAATAACCACTCCTCTACCATCTTATACTGAACATCAAGCAATACATGTACACAAGGGTTACAACTTGGACAGTCAAACTAAAGATGTCCAGATTCACGGATACAGATCATCCGGAAGTAGCATTCCGAGCCATCAAACCCATCACAAGTCAGATAATCAGCAGTATGATACAAACAAAATAGCCTTACTCAATATAGAAAACCACTCAGATCACCAATCAGTTAGGGAAGTGAACAGTTCCCACTGCCTCCCACCAAGGTGGCTTCATGATGCTCTAACCAATAATAAGCCAAATAGCAATTTTTACAACAGGCTGTATGATGTCAGTTCGGAGGCTGATATATTCAACAGTGACATAGATGATGTTAATTTTGAAGTTGACAATTTAGTCAGTGAGTTAGGTGACAGTATGAACAGTACTCCAAATCTATTTTCAGAAATTCCTCAAGGTGGTATTAATTTAGAATATCTTCCAAGTAGAAATACTGACCAAGAGACAAGTGCCAATCTCAACAGTCCATCATGCTTTAGCACAGACAGTGACAGAGATGCAGTTGACAATTTAGACAATGGAGCATATGATTTTGTAGACAATCAATTCCATAACAATAGTGAGACACAGACAGGGTATTCAAATGAGCCACAAACTGGAGCTCAGTTGAGTGATGATATCACAAAAGAAAGGTCTCATATAAGAGACCAGCTGAGACATTTTATTCAAAATAGACGCCAAAGCCAGCAACATTATCAAACAAAAGAACAAAATTTGGTTCAAATGGATGACCAATTAGTTCAAACAGAAGAAATTTTAGTTCAAACAAATGAACATTTAGTTCAAACAAATGAACATTTAGTCCAATCAGAAGAACAGAATTTTGATCAATCAGGAGGTAGCCCAGACTATGATGCACAAAACAGAGAAAATCATAGCCCAACAAATCTTGATGAACGATCAAACCATTCAACATCTGTCATAAATGACAAGCAACACTTGATAAATACTGAAAAGGGTGATTTCATCAAAAACTTTGATGTAACAACAAGTAAAGATGTTTGTGAATATTCTACATATGAAGAGAAACAAGAAAACCATCCAGAAGCTGGCCTTGAAACATGTTCTCAACACACTGTTTATCATAACAATTCAGGTAACTATTTAAAATGGCAACATAGACTATATAAGAGTTGTTATTTACACTGATTTGAAGCGTAATATCAATTTATTTTTGCTTTTTATTCATTTTTCATATTTATTTCATATTTCATTCCATATCACATACCTGCCAACCTACCATATTTTTACGGGAATCTATCGTAAAATTTTCGTTTTTATGTAAAAAATGACAAACTACCGTAAAAAATTTACCTTTTTTATTCCATAGTTAAAGTTATCATCAGAATCGTCGGAAATTAAGTTATTTAATTCGAATTTCCAAACGATCCAGCGATGTTGACACTTAGCCTCGTTTTGAGTCTTAAGTAGCAAAAATCCATAAACCATCGCATACGACGTCGTATGTCATGGCTAAAAAACCGTATGTTATGGTTAAGTGAAAATTTGTCAAAAATATCATATTTTACCACTGATTACAAAAATACCGTTTTTATTTTCACATGTTATCCTATGAATATCATGCTAACTATGGAATAATATCAATTTATTTTTGCTTTTTTCATTCCATATCACATACCTGCCAACCTACCATATTTTTACGGGAATCTATCGTAAAATTTTCGTTTTTATGTAAAAAATGACAAACTACCGTAAAAAATTTACCTTTTTTTCCCATAAAAACAATCGTAAAAAATTCAATTTATTCAAATATACTGTAAATATTTGGAAATCTTCCATATTTCTGCTGAAATCAACAGTATTTTTGTTCAAACTACCGTAAAATCTACCGTTATTATTTGAAAATTCTGAAAATTTGAAGTCTTCTAAATTACCAATCGGATAATAGATAGGTGTCGGTAGATCTTATTGCGTACTTATATAAGTAAGCTGGCATGTAATCAGTCAAAACACTGAGGAGTATCGTGATGCAAAAACACGGTGTTATTGCATCAACTACAACAGGTTCTACAGTAGTTATAAAAACACTGATGTGTCCAAATTGTTTATGATAGAGTTCCATGAATGCTGTGTTCTCTATTATACTCTATACTCTATTATTTTTTCCTTGAAGTGTGTCAAAATCTACGCAAAATCAATTTTTTAAATCTACCGCAAAAAACTACCACATTTTTTCAAAATCTTCCGAAAAACCTATAATTTTATTGAAAAATCTACTGCAAAACTACCCTATTTTTCAAAAATCTACTGTAAAACTACCGCAATTTTAGAAAACTTCCAAAAAAACTACCGCTAAAACTACCGACTTTTCAAAACCTACCATAAAACTACCGCATTTTTGTCGAAAAATACCACAAAAACTACCGCATTTTGAAAAAATCTACCGCAAATTTTTGGTCTTAGGTTGGCAGGTATGTATCATGTTGCTTTCCTATTGCTTTGATTTCTCGGGTAACCCGGCAATCATTTAGAAAAATTAAATAAAAGTTATACATTTAATTTACTTATTTATTAATTTAACTCGTCATTGCTTGTGGAATGTTTCTCAAAGAATGTTAAAAAGCGCCTTGTCTGCCTCATCCTGGCAATGTCAGGTTACTATGGTTACCACAGTATGAATAACTTTGTCAATACTGATTTGATCGTCAGAAAATTTTAACATAAAATAAGCAGAATTAGCAATACATATTGAATCGAGTCATATGTTCTCAGAAATTGTGCCATACCAAAGCTGAGACAGTTCATATGTTATTTCAGTATTATCTCAAATGGATGAGACAAAGGCTGAGCCAGAGACCACAGAACCAGTTTACATGACAATAGAAGAAGAACTATCAACAGAAGAGGATGTTCCTCCTGTATCCAATTATACACTTGCTGAGTCAAAGAATGGACTTGAAAATCCTCAAAACAGTATGCCTATTTATAAAAAATTAACTGGAAATCAAGGATCACAGTTACAGAGTGAAAGAAGATTTATTTGTAAATACTGTTTTAAATCATTTGATAAAAGAAGTGCTTTTATGATCCATAGGAGAACTCATACTGGAGTAAAAACATACAAATGCACTCACTGTAGTAAAACATTTAGAAAAAGAAAAAGTTTGGTGTTACATCAACGAATTCATAATGGACAGAAACCATTCAAATGTACATACTGTAGCAAATCATTTACTACCAGGAAAACTTTGGTAACACACACAAGAATCCATACTGGAGAACAATTATTCAAGTGTAAACATTGTAGCAAATCATTTAATAACAGTGGAACTTTGGTAAAACATACAAGAATCCATACTGGAGAACGACTATTCAAGTGCACATACTGTAGCAAATCATTTACTACCAGGAACGCTGTTGTAACACACACAAGAATCCATTTTGGAGAACAACCATTCAAGTGTAAACATTGTAGCAAATCATTTAATAACAGTGGAACTTTGGTAAAACATACAAGAATCCATACTGGAGAACGACCATTCAAGTGTATGTACTGTAACAAATCATGTACTACAAGGGGAGGACTGGTAAGCCATACAAGAATCCATACCGGAGAACGACCATTCAAGTGTGCATACTGTAGCAAACCATTTACTACTAAGGAATATTTAGTAATACATACAAGAATCCATACTGGAGAACAACCATTCGAGTGTACAAACTGTAGCAAATCATTTACTCACAGGAAAGATTTGGTAACACACACGAGAGTCCATACGAGAGTCCATACTGGAGAACGACCATTCAAGTGTACATACTGTAGCAAATCATTTACTACCAGGACAGCTTTGGTAACACATACAAGAATCCATACTAGAGAACAACCATTCGAGTGCATATACTGTATCAAATCATTCACTGACAGGAGTAATTTGGTGACACATACAAGAAGCCATACTGGAGAACGACCATTCGAGTGTACAAACTGTAGCAAATCATTTACTCACAGGAAAGATTTGGTAACACACACGAGAGTCCATACTGGAGAACGACCATTCAAGTGTACACACTGTTGCAAATCATTTACTACTAAGGAATATTTAGTAATACATAAAAGAATCCATACTGGAGAACGACCATTCAAGTGTGCATACTGTAGCAAATCATTTTCTAACAGTGGAAATTTGGTAAAACATACAAGAATCCATACTGGAGAACGACCATTCAAGTGTACACACTGTTGCAAATCATTTACTACTAAGGAATATTTAGTAATACATAAAAGAATCCATACTGGAGAACGACCATTCAAGTGTACATACTGTAGCAAATCATTTACTTCCAGGAACGCTTTGGTAAAACACACAAGAGTCCATACTGGAGAACAACCATTCAAGTGTAAACATTGTAGCAAATCATTTAATGACAGTGGAAATTCGGTAAAACATACAAGAATCCATAGTGGATAATGACTATTCAAGTGTACATACTGTAGTAAATCATTTACTTCCAGGAAAGCTGTGGTAACACACACAAGAATCCATACTGGAGAATGACCATTCAAGTGCATATACTGTAACAAATCATTCACTGACAGGAGTAATTTGGTGGCACATACAAGAAACCATACTGGAGAATAACCATTCAAGTGGAAATATTGTAATCATGTTAACAGGGTAAGACATACAAAAATCCACACTGGAGAATGACCACTGAAGTGTGCAAATCATTGACTACCAAGGGAGATTTTGTATCACACACAAGAATCCACACTGAAGAACAATTATCTAATGCACCATTCAAAATTTGCGTGATACTCCCCCACTCAGTAGGTAAGGAATTTGACATGCAATATTGTCTTGGGGATAGGATTTTGACAGGAAACTTTGTCCCGGGAGTGAGGAATTGAATTTGCATCTGCCTGAGAGTGGGAATTTTTGGCTGTATTTGTTTTGTCTAAGATACACTAGAAAAAGGCTCTAAGCTCCAAGGAAACCCAAGATTTCCAAATGATCCATTTACTGAGAATAGTCGCTAGAAATTGGAATTTAGTAGAATAATAGAAGCAGGAAAAGTTGCTCCTCTGGTTTGAATTTGAATTTTCTATATTATTATATTATCGAAATATGTACTTAATCCTGACATTTGAGTCTTATTTTGATACAATTTACAATCAACTAAAACACATGGGTCATGTAATTCAAAATGGCCAACGTGACATTTTCATGACAGAATCCATAAAATAATGGGATAACATTTTTATTTTATAGAGGTTTGGTTTTAAAATGTAGCGATTATGATTAAGCACTGTAGAAAATATTACCTGTTGATTTGAAGACTCATCTAAAATAATTGCAATTTTGTGCTTGCTCCTCATGTGCTGGTGAAGACTCTTGCGCTTATCACTCTCAAAACTACACAACATGCAGGAGAATAGTCGAATTCTTCCACCAAATGCCATGTGGTCTGTCTGCTGTCCGTGACTACGCATGTGGCAGAGTAGGGTCCTACGACAATCTGTTTGGAAGTTACATGCGGCACATTTCTGAAGTGATCCATCAGTGGCCTAAAGAAACAATAACGACATTGACAAAGGAAACCATAACTTGTTAGTAAATGCAGGACCTTTTGAACAGTTTGTGAACTTCCCTAAAATATGCCATCGTGCCATGAAATACCCTCTAAAGTGACTTTTTAATACTATAGTTAATGAAGGACCCACGGTCCTGTGCTCACACAGTTTGGAACCTTCAGAGGAATTTATATCCTGACTTTCAAACAAAAATATTGATTTGGATTTGTAGTCTCGAACTTTGAGAAACTTAGATAGCATAGTTGTGTGACCTAGTTTGATGACCTTTGAAATTTTACTTATTCAGAGCTCAGTAAGGTCTTTTGTTATTAAGCTGACCAAAATTTACATCCAAAAATCAATTTGAAAAATCAACTTTTTTGACCTTTCGAAGGTCACTGAAGGTCAAGTAAAGGTCAAATCCAAAAACTAATGTCAGATTTGAACTCCTGGCAACTTGTAGATGATTTTCAAAAAAATTTGGTCAAATTGAAGCAAGTTGAAAAATAACTTATTTTTACTGTTTTTTGACGTCAAATATCTCAAAAACGGTAAAAATTTGATGCTGACATATATTGAGAAATATGTAGGGAATGCTTAAATCTATTAATGATGTAATTTATTGCAGGAAATGATCAAGTATAAGGCAAACTTTAAGAATCTTGTCAATCACAAAACCTGCCTTTGACTTTATACATGAGAAAGTTTCCTGAAAATGACTAAGTCCTACTTTTTTTCAAATTTAAAGAGTAAACACCAAAAAACGTAATTCCAAGAGCTTTGAAATCTTCAGAGGACATAAGTTGCATATACACCAACTACTAAAAGTTATTCAACAAAGTGTCTAGTATTTACAGAAAATTTGACTTTTTGACGTCAAAATCCGCAATTTCTCGGAAACCGGGCGAACTTGGGAAATGGCGATGATAGGTCAAATAGGCATTATGGATATGCATAAAATGAATGTGGATATGACTCAATCCGAATAGCAATTTTAATTTGTGCGGCCAATGTTGACGGACGGACGGACGGACCAACGGACGGACGGACAGACGGACGGACGGACGGACCAACGGACGGACGGACCAACGGACGGACGCCTGGTCAATCCCATAGGCTCACTGTGTGAGCCAAAAAGAGTGTAAGCACTCCTAATCAGAGATGAAGATTGCATTTGTTTGGCTTGATTCAGTGTTATTAAATTTGTGGTCAATGGACTAGTTGCTTTCATGTTCCTATACATGTACATGTTAAAAATAAGCCAACCTTTTTATTATACATGCAGTCAATGCTCAAATTAAGGGAACAATAGAAGAAATACATATATCTACAGCTAAATCAGGTGTTTTTGCCTGTTGTTGCTAGTATACTGTTGTAGACACTATTATGCCTCGTGAGCTAACTGGTGATCACCCAAGGTGTTTTATTTTACAGATTGCTAAGTTCTACTTTAATTTTGGACAAAATTCAATCATCCTTTCACCATGTTTCCAAGAGATTCTCAACAGGGTGGCATGCGTAAAACAAACCTGGTGTTCCTCCTTATGCATAACCTCTAGGTGTTTATACAGGTTAATGAGCTTAACAAACTTCATGGTGCAGAAGTTACAATCGTAAATCTTCTCCATCTTGGAATAGTCCAATTTCTCATAATTTATACGTCCTTGGCTCTCAAATTCCTGATCTTTATCTGACTGTGTTTTCTTGCGGTTTGATGGCGGGTCAATTTTCACTTTATGGATTGTTTTCATGTGACGAATCTGCAGTGAAAAGTTAAAAGACTGTAACGGTACATAAACAAGGTATTCAAGTGACAAAATATCACCATCTGGTTGTTTAACAACATTATCTCCCCCATTTGAGTTTGTCGTTCTGTATCCAATGATATGTAACATCAAAAGTATACAATGAAAGACAGTAACACATGTATATTCAATAACCACTTTAATCTAAACATCTGGGATGGGGGTGATTTTTCAGTCCCATATTATTTTAATTTGGCATAAACTTTAATTGTAAAAATAAAACTACCTTAAAATGTGAATCAGAACATTTTTGGCCAGTCTGAGTGGCATTCAGATTAGACAGGTTTTACTGTTAAACATTTTATAAATAATTTACCACATGTTCCTTCTGGTTCCCTCTGTAGTCACACATCCCACATTTGAAAGGTCTTTCACGGGTGTGAGTCAAGACGTGACGTTTCAGACGACTTTCACAATCTGTCACAAAACTACATGACTCGCAGAACAATTTCAGTTCTGGGCCCTTTGCATGGAACTTCAAATGTTGCTGAAGATCTTTATAAGATGGCGCCAAGAAGTCGCAGATGGTGCATGCATGTGTTGTCTTGCCTTCAGCGTGTTTGTGTTTTAGATGGTATTTCAGGTCAGCTTCAGCAGTAGCACAGATGTAGGGGCACAGGGGACATTGGACTTTCTTAACCTTTAACAATAACATGGCAACATTTTAATGATAAACAACTTATAGGGTTTCCATTATCTGCTTGAACAACAATAATACTATGATTGATGCTATACATGAAATAACTAATGCTGGTACATTCATGTACTCTGTGTCTCGAAACAATATTATAATGTGACAGTACATTTATTTGATTCCAATGCTACAAATCGTTGAAACACAAACTAAATGGTTTCAATCCTACTATTCTATACTTATATATCAAACAAGACAAGGCATTAACATGCAAAATGTGGTGGTGACATAAAACTAGAGGGTTCAATATGTACCATGGGACCATAGCGGAGCAAAATCATGTATCTCAGATGTGCCTCTGTACATGTATTTTTTTACATACCTCATGATTATACTAGATGTGCCTCTGTACATGTATTTTTTTACATACCTCATGTTTATACTTGATGTGCCTCTGTACATGTATTTTCTTACATACCTCATGATTATACTAGATGTGCCTCTGTACATGTATTTTTTTACATACCTCATGTTTATACTTGATGTGCCTCTGTACATGTATTTTTTTACATACCTCATGTTTATACTTGATGTGCCTCTGTACATGTATTTTCTGTCTGAATGTGCGTTCACAATGTGAACATTTAAAGAGCTTTTCTCCATTATGTTTCTGCATGTGCCTCTTTAAGTTACTACTAGTCCCTGCCAGGTAGTCACATTCTGGACATTTATGTGGCTTTTCTGAAAGTATTCACGATGGAAATTGAACAATAGATATTACAGGATTGGTGACTTGTACTTTATTATTTATAAACAAGACAATTGATACAAAAGATTTTATTTATTTCCATTCATACAGGTTAATAACAAATACAGTAAAAATCAAAATGGCAAGCTTTTTACCCAGCAAGCCATGTCAAACAATTAATCAATTGTACTACTCGTAGAACCCCATTCTAAAAGACATCTTTGAAAATTTCAAAACAAGCTGACAACAATACTGCAACCTTGTGTAAGGGAGGTATGATGAAAATGTGCACAAACCTCCAAAATAACACTCACCCATGTGACATCTCTTATGTTTATAGAGGTTTGACTTCTTATCTGTTGAATATGAACACACGCTGCACTTAAATGGTTTGTCTCTACAAGGCATCTCTACCACAGCTAAGTTGGTTTTCACTCCCTCTGAAGTCAGTTTAATGAATACCTGAAAACACAAAAAAGAAAATTGTCAAGTTTTATTTTAGTTTAACAAACAAACACAGTTTTCCCATTATTTTTTTTACTTTTTACATTTTCTTTCATGTCAGTTCAACCAGATTTGAATATGTATGGCAAAGATGACCAGTGATCTCCCCAGCATTAAAGCAAGTGGGCGCAGCACAGAGATTTTGAAAATAGCCTTGCACTCACTTCAAAATCCATTTGCACCCACTTGAAAATGAGAAAAATCATAAAAATGGCATATTTTGGCCTGAATTGTGAAAATAAGAATTTTGGACCCATCTGAGAAAAAATCCTGGGAAAATCACTGATGACCTTTAAACAAATATTTAACACAAAGCAGTTTATACTTTCTACCCCCATACCATGGCATCTTTTTTTTGTAATTACAGTAGAAGTGGAGATTAACACAAAACCTAAATTGCTGCTCATGTTGCACAACCTTGGCAATTAGCTAATCATAATCGATCCATGTTAATATTTAGAAATAAATTGATAACACGAAAAAAATAAATTTATAGGCTAACGTGAAAAAATAAATTGAAAAATTAACACAAATAAAACAGCTAAACATACCCTTTTCTGGCCATCATCGGTTATTTCATTTTCACCCGTATAAACTTGTTGAACTTTCACATTAACTTCCTCTCCTGTGCTCTGAAGCTGCATGTCCTGGCCGTCCATGACAACTGTGCTACCATCTCTACCCATGATCACTACATGATGGGAGGTATCCTCAGTTAACGTAGGCTCTGTTGTATTCTAATCAAAGAAAATACTTTTGAAGTAAAAACACAAGATTTGAATCATTTCTCAGAATACGTGTTAAAAAAAGTTATATCAAAAATTGGAAAGTGAATAGTGGTGCTGCTCATTAAAACATAGTGGCAAAACAGAGTACCAGGGGCGTAGCCAGCAAATATCAAGGGGAGTGTGATTTTTAGATTTTGCATCATTGCGAGTGAAGCGAGCCCGAAAAAGTGGGGTACGGAATTTTTTTTAAATTGACATTGTAGCTATATGGTGCATTCTAAGCATTTCAAACTATAATTTGTTAATGTTTTTTCAACAAATTTTACAAAATTGCTTTTTGTGGGGGTGGGAGTGCTGATTTATGAAATAATGGTGATTTTATAAAAGTGGGCGGTGATAACCTTAAATTAATGGTGTTACTTGTATCAACATGGTTTCACTACTCATATGTTTTCTTGGATCACAGATTTTATTTGGAAAAAACTGTTTTAAAATAATGAAAAATTGAGAAACTCGAAGGAGATGCCCTTAAAATCAGGAGATATTTTTAAGTTGACTGTTTTTAAACAAATTAACAGGAGCATATAGATTTAAAGTAAGATTACCTGATTATCATCAGCACCAGTTGTACCATCATGCCCTGTGGTACCATCATGCCCGGCTCCAGTACCTTCAATTCCTGGTGCATGTTCAATGACAGCCATTTGATAATTTTGTAACAAATCTGCATTGTTCTCATCTCTCATCCCAAGCTGTAATGCCTGAGTTATCATTTTCTGGTCATTTGTCTCTATTAAAATCTCACGAGGTGTTGGACCAGACTCCTCTAAAGCAGAACGTAGTACAGTGAGGATTTGCTGTTGGAGACTGCTTTCCTCCCCGACCATCACAGCAGCCTTCGCACTTTCATTTGGTGGGCCCGAGGGTTTCACTGCAAAAGATGATATACCATGCATTTTTTAATATTCTTTTTATACATGGAATCCTTATTTAAACAAAAAGTCTTAAAAGATTTTAAAAACCATGTTTTGAACTAAGTATAGGCCATTAAACAAAATCTAAAATGGAAATTTTCGTGCAAACAACATTGTCATATAAAACACATTTAGAAACTATGGATAGAGTACAGGAATCTGGCAAATATCCAAGACTACGCAGCAATCTCTTAAAATACAAAGAGCATACTTTTTGATGTTTAATATTTACCATTCAATGGAATGTTGACTTCATCAGAGCCATGTTCAATAACTACCATTTTCCTCACTTCACCATCAAGGGCAGTTCCATCTTCGACATGATCACCATGTTTTGTCCGAGTTTGAACATTGTTTAGTTCATCACTCATACCATTATTTGCTTGGGCTTGAGGCACATCTTGAATTGCATGTTCATTGACTCCTATACTGACTTCAACTACTTCATTAGAATCATCAGTATCTGTATCCTTGAGACAAACAATCGGTTGATTCACTAGGATAACATTAGTTGGCATGTTATCTTCAGTAAGTGATTGCTCAGTTGACATATGTTCATCCCCAGTGGTATTTGATTGGTTGTTTTCATCATCTATTACAGATTCATTGGGCCGAATGGTAATATGTCTAGCTGGAGGGTTGATTTCATCTTTGACTCCATGGTCAGTTGTTTCATCATTTTCAAGTTTATTGGAAGGTTCACCGTCATCTTGATCAGTAACAGATTCATTTGGCAATAATTTGTTAAGCTCATTACCACTAACATTTCCCTCTGACTTTTCAAAAACAATCAGAGTAGGTGAATTGTTTTCAATTGGATCAATGTCTGCATCTCTGTCAGTGTTGTCTTGAATACCATCTGCTAGTTTATGTGGTGAAAACAGCCTTTTCTTTGCAGTGTCTGGTGTTTTGTTGACGATTTCAACAGATATTTTAGAGATGGTTGAAGGTTCAATTTCTACACTTTGACTTGCTGTTGTATTAACATCTACATGTTCAATGGGTGATTTGCTTGGTGTTTCATCTCGTTCAGCATCATTTATATCAGTTGATTCCACAGAATTTAAAGATGCTGATTGAGATTGAACACTTCCATCTAACAGGGTTTTTGGGGATTTACTATTTCTTGATTTTGGCCTAGTATTTGGGGACTGGTTATTTACTTCAGTTGTTTTTTTCTCAGTGGTTTTAGCAGATGAACGTATAATTCTTGGTGGTTTTCTATGGACTATTGATTCATGTTTGGTTTGAGCAGCATCGGGTTCTTTTGATTCTTCTGTTTTGTCTGTTGAGTCTTGTCTCAGAGGTTTTTTCTGCTGCTTTGGCCCTATTGGTAAAAAGAAAAAATATTTAGTAAAACCTTGTTTCAAATTTTGATATCAAAAGAATTCTAATTCTGTACTGACTTTCTAAGACAAACATTTCTTTTTCCCTGTTTTAACTGGAAAGACAGAAATTCCATGGAGTAGCTAATCCCATCAAATAAAACATATTTTATCAAATCACTTGATCTCAGCATCCATAGGCCTATTGAAAATTCCTTTTCGAGTCCCATGCCTATAAGGCATGTGCCTATATAATTTAAACCAAATCCTTGATTCCGGGCACAAGAATGAATGGACAGATTGCTTCTTATATCCATACCAAAGTTTGTTTGGTGGGATAATTACATTTGTTTATATCAGTGGGTTGGATTAAATTATGACTAAACAGATAATGATCGATTTTGATCGAGACAGATGCTTGAGAAAACTAATTTTAACAAATAAAATCTAAAACTGAAAAACTAAATTAAATAAATTCATTAATTAAATGTTGGTGTTCATAATAGTATGCTATTTCTTTTATTTTTTGAGAACTTCTTGATGGGGAATATTTTGGATAATGTTGACTTAAGGCAAAGAATTGCAATTATAAAGAGGCAATATACCTTTGGTTGCCTGTGTCTTGCTTCTCTTAGCAGGCTGCTCATCCATCTCCATATCCATGAAGCGTTTATTTGGAGTCTTCCGACGGGTGCTCCGAGGTCGCAAACCATCTTCCGACATTGCACTCTCTGAAAGTTGTAGTAAAAAATGAGAGCAGACTGATACCACAAATTTAATCCTTCAAAATCCATTATGACAAAGAGTCTAACAAAAAAAACACAGACGAACCTTAGGTTCTACTAAAAGGCCTCATTGGTAATATTGTTGGCCTACCTGGTGCATGCGTTATTGCTCGTGTCATGCTTAATTGCTTAATCTAAGTTCACTGAACACAGAGCAGTTTTTTAATTTCTTTTCAAATTTCCGACTGCCCAGTAAATAATTAATTTCACGAAATTGATGCTGTATAGGAGTTGGTATCTGATAGTTGGCAAGTCCACTGCATATAAATCTTGGCGGGATCCTATGTGCACATGGGGTACCTCTTTGACATTTGGTATGGCAATGGACCCAAATTTTTGAATCTATAGTGGTATGCGAATGCTCCCTCATTATGACTTTTGAGGAGGTATGGCAATGGTCAGATTTCAGATGGTCAGACTAGATGAAATTGTCATGGAAAATATGTTATCTCACGCTTGAAGTATGGCATTGGTCTAGAAGTTACACATATCCTTAATTTGAGGTTGTTTTGGAACATTTTCCACAAAGATCGTCTTCTCCTTGGGACCTTCTTCAGTTTAAATATTTGCTTTTCCTGGGTAATTATTCTACTTTTGATCAGTCATAGCATGATTGGTATGGTATTCAAGGTCCTATATTTATTAGACATTTGGTATGGCATTGGTCTCATATTTGGGCATTTGGTATGGGTTTTGGACACTATATTGGTTGATATGGAAACACATCCAAATTTGACATTTTGTGGGAATACAATGTATATTGATATCTGAGGGTTCAGCCTAGGACCCCACCAAATTTTGTATACAGTAAACTGAACCGACGGGTGGCAAGTAGGTCGCGAGTAAATCTCAGGCACGACATGGAAATCTGAAATTATAGAGGGCGCATATTCATTTTACACACGGCGAAATGAAATGAGATTTCCCGGGAAATTTTGGACAATACTAGTATATTAATAGTCTATTGTACATTGTACAACCACATATGACCAGCACGATCATAAATCACATAGGGACCAATTAATATGATCTAAAACAATCAACCACGTACTGACTGAGCTTAGTAAAGAAAAAATATCAAGGATCAAGGTAAATCACTTATGATCAGGAACAATCACCTAAACCAGGGACAATCAACTAAGATTAGAACAATTGAGTACAATCACAGTATCAAAACAAAATATTAAGAATCACAACCAAACAATTGCCCAGAAGAGTCAAGAAAAATTTAAAGTAATAAAAACAATCACTTAAGATTAAGAACAATCACCTGTAAAATTGTTTAGGATCGACCCAATCCCTAAGGATCAAGACAGATACCAAAGATCAAGATCATGAGGATATTTCTAAGGATCAAAAACATTATCACTTAAGATCAATAACAATCACCTAGGATCAAGATTAATCACTTAGAATTAAGAACACCAAGGGCTCAGAAGAAATTTTTGGATCGGGAAAAATCACTTAGTGTGCTGTTAATGGGTTCAATAATGTAACTTAAAAGTCCAATATAAGATGAGATATAATACATTTTTATTTGAGACATAAATACTATAACTTGACAGACATCTAGCAGCCCCTCGGCTATTGGCTAAAACACATCACGTGGTACAAAAGTAGGTCGAATTTGTGTAGTCCCGCCATATTTAGACAGACTTCCGGTACAAGTGCACTTGGATTTGCGCCCTCTATAATTTCAGATTTCCATGTCGTGCCAAGAGGAGGGAAAGCCCCAGAGTTTCAAGATGACAGACATAATTACCTCTCTTGCTTACCACCTTCGTTCGTTCGAATTTTCATCGGCTAGTTATCAAATACTACACTTCGATGGGATGTTATAATTGATGTAGGCATATTCCGTACACCTTTCTTTATCTTGATGTGAAATGAGAAGCTATGATATTGGTTAACACGCCAGAAATGAACATAATATTATTCGAAGCGTATTTCGAAAATTTTGAAACCGCCATTGATGACGTCATTTGTTTGTCGAATTTTGACCAATCAGCGACCGTGTCATCTCAATACAGATTTACATTATAAGCGTATGTCATCTTTGAACCCTGGTGTTTCTCCCCCTCTGTGTCGTGCCTGAGATTTACTCGCGACCGTGGCAAGTACATGTAGATGAACATGTTTTACATCCCCTAATGTAGAATAACAATTGGCCTAGGGGGTACTCCAATTCTATTGTGCTTCTAAGAGACAGTGCCTCATAAAAAGAGGAATACCCTTTTCGGAGAAACATTGTCTAGTCTAGAATTTGACTCACTGATAAGCTTGTATAGGCCTTTTACCAAGTCAGGTAAGATAGACTACCAAATGAAGCTGTTCCAGATGCCTTCTCTTGAAATTACATGATACAGCATATTGGGAAACCTAATGAGACATTGCATCCTTTAGTGATATTCTCGATATTAGATGTAACATGAAATGAAGATCTGTCATAGATCAAGAAATGAACAGAAACGTATAATCATTTGATTTGAAAAAGGTAAACAAAATCTTCAATTTGGAGGGAAATTGTGGCCGCCATTTTATCACCTCCTTTCTGAAAACGAAACATATATTACAGTCATACATTCATTTACAATAGAAATAGACAAAAACAAGTAAATCTAGACTTATATAGAGAACTAAACATACAAAATTTAGGCAACTTGGACTGTTTGATACCTTGTAATTTACTCCTCTAAGTAAAAACAGCAGCGCTGATGTCCTTTCTTCGTTCCTGATGCAACGGAAAGATGTCGCTTCAATTGAACTAAACGAAATGTGGATAACCCGGGAAATCGTTCACAAGATCAATCTCTAGTCTACTTGGTACTAAAATAATAGGATTTTTATTGTTACCCCTTTTAAATTTTATTGCAGTTTCTTGTTATTAAATTTCTTACCTATGTGGTAAAACGGGAAAGTATGGATTCCCGGGGAAAACTAAATATAACATTCGACAGGTGCGTGATCAGTGACCTTGAGAATAATATATTGGATCTTGATTTTGGACGTTGTAGACGTGATCTACAAAGCGACTTCATTCTCTGCGATTTTAATCTTTTTCCCGTTGGCTGTTGTAAGTATAATTTTATACGCTTTGAATTGGTATTGTGATCATGGTCATGTTGGTTTTTTGGCTAGATCTAAGCTTACAAAAATAGTGACAAAGATCAAGAAGATCAGTGAAAATAAAACATGAACATTTTGAGTTCATATGTGCCATGGGAAATCAGAATAAACCTGATACAGGAACTAAACTAGGTCTAAAAATGTTGAATAGTGCTGAGTATACTTAGTTTCTAAATAGTCCTTGTTTACTCTTGTCTACAGTCCATTTTCACTCTCTGTCAATCAATTGTAAAAAATAAGCCATCAAATCTAAACATATGGATTGGAAGAATATTTTAGGCTAAGGAGAAGGACGCAAAACATTTATGGTTAAACCTGCACATCGCTCCAAAACGCAATCTTGGGTTGTTTCGGGGGTGAACTTTATCATTTTGAGCTAATGAAAGATTATAGAATGATGAACAAATGGGGCAAATCTTGTGTAGAAATACTTACGATAAATGTGTCATTTCAAAGATTTTTCATTGTTTTTCATTTTGGAGCGATGTGCAGGTTTAAATACAATTTAAATCATGAGTTGAAGGCAGAATTTCTCAGTATCATAAAATTTAACATATAGATCTATGATGAATACGGATGATACCAATAAGTGACAACAAAATAAATGCTCAATTTTGCAACTTCCGGACTCAGGATTGAACTGCATTGATCAGGCCCGTAGCCACCAAGGGGGGTTCAGTTTTCAAAAATTTCCAGGGGGGTTCACATTGGACAAATTTGGCCCAAATATGGCTAAAATCACTTAAGTGCTCAAAATGGTGAAAAACTACATGATTTTGGAAGAATATTTGGCCTGGGCGAACCTCCCCTGGCTATGGGCCTGTTGATATAACGTTGATATTAAAGCAGTCAGATTGCAATTCAGTTTTTTCAGACATGCCTCATATAAACTGTATTGACCGAATTCTGAAGTAACCTAGTTAAACAAAATTACCCTTGTTATTTGAGGTGAAATGCATTTGTAAGGGGCTAGATCAATAATCAATAAAATAATGTTTTTTAAATGTTTAATACACCAATATGAACTAGAATGCTGTGTGTAATTACCTTATTTTGAGTATTGAAAAACATCAAGCAAACAGTTTTGAAATGACCCCTAAACTTCGAAAGCAGACATGTTAATATACACAACAGCTTTCTAATAATTGCTTTGTGTATTCATGACTAACGTCATGATTGGGGAAAAACAAACCTCCATTCAATAAATCGGCCGGCCTGTCAATAAAAACTGTAGCATCAACAGAGGTAAACTAGTTCAGTTCACCATGATCTATGTTGAATGGTAAACACAAACAGGATCAGTTGTATTCATTTAATTAACCAGTCAGTTAGCAGAAAGTATTTCAGAATAACATACAAATTTACTTGGAAGAATTTAATTAAAAAAGAATAGTATTGAATGATAGGGTCTTCATTATATAAAGTAAGTAAGATACATGGTTGACGTACAATTGTAAATATGCATGTATTAGATGTATTTGAATTAAAATAGTTGACAGAACATCACATTAGATAAAATTCAAATCAATTTTTTCCAGTTTTGTTTCTTTAACATGTTTAAAGTCTAACTTTTTGTGGATGGTGTTCGGCTGTTGGTGTTCAGAGTTTGGTGTCTGTAACAAATGGCAGGGAGTGTAATTTTGCATGTTGATGTATCGTTCATTACATGTTGTTATTGATAACTGACTTCCCTTTGACCAATCAGAATTGAGTATATAATTAACTAAGTTACAATAGTAAGTAAAATCTTTTAAAAAATGCTTCTTATAATGTAATTTGTGTTTTTTCAGCCTGACTTGTGTGTGTCAATGGTTATAACACAACTGTACGGCACTTATCTCAATACTGTTGGTGCTATCCACAACGATTTCCCAATTAGGACAAAACGAAAGAATTCCAGGAGCAAGTACTGTGGTTCGTGAACTGTTAGAAAATGACTGGTGAAACGTCCGTGAAACAAATCAAACTCAAAACGCCCAAGACTCGGTAAGTCTGCAAAAGACCACTAAATGATTATTTGGTGTCTCATTATGAACAGACAGTTGTGGAATAAAAAGTTACGGTAGTTTTGTTTGGGAAATGATGGTTCCATTAGCAAAAAAATAATTTTTATTGCACTTTGAAAATGCTATATTTCTGATGCTTGTTTAAATATACAGTATGAAAGAAAAATCGACATTATAAAATTTCATTAGAGGAAGGGTTGGGAGCAAACCATATTGGAAATACAAAATTAACTTAGTTTTTCCATGGCTGTTGATAATTTGACACCATCCTTTAACCACATACATATAATAATAGTTAAAAGTACCGAGGCACCCACCCTACCCCTGTTTACTATTTATCACAAATGTTGACTTATTTATTTTTTGTATATAATTACATCCTAGATTACAGCAGTTACTATTATCATGAACCAAATTACTATTACACGTGTCAGTCATGTTTTCCAAGCATGATCATTTCAAGTGGCATCAGGTTTGTTCATTAAAGTCAATATGTTCCTATTATTTCATCCCTTTCAAATAATACAACATTGGTCTTGAAATATGGTTTCGAAAATTTCATGGAAAAAGTTGATTTATCAAGGAGTATGGCAAATATGCATTGTAGTCAGCAATCAAAATTGTATATTTCACATCTAGTAAGAAAAACTTCAATTATATTAGTTTTCTATAGAAAATATATGATTTGTGATTTGTCCATAATCTGATGAAACATAGTCAAGGGGTATTATTGGACTTACCTCCTAGCTTACAGTTCTTATATAACCTCATATTTAAGCACATGGATCTAGATTGGCATTACGTTACAAGAATTGTTTTATATTTACCTGGCCTTAGAATTCTTTCATGCATTATTATGTAACAATGTGATATTTACCTGGAATATATATTAATCAGGTGCAGGTAGGGGAATGTTTACCTGTGTAAACACATCAACACTCATAAGTTTTGTGATCATGGTCATTTCTATGTTCATGCTAATCTTTGCTGTGGATTGGATATTGATTTTACTTTAGTCTTTCAATTTTTCATCAAATTATATTTAATCTATAATAGTCAGGACATAGGCTTGCTCTTGAAAGCCCATGGTCAGTGCTATTTTTACACTGGTTCAAGCTTGTTGCTTTGTTATATAAAAAGATTAGAAATAATCCACAACTAAAACTTATTCCTACTTTGTAATATGTAGAAGGTCATATTTTATTTTAAAAGTCATTGACATGCAATTTGTATATAGGTATTTGAACACTTGAAAATGACTTGTGATCCCCATTTGCCCCCATCCCCCCTCCATCCAATACAGATTGGAAATCCATGTAGTTGAATGGAGTTGAAACTAGATTCAAGATTTGACTCAGTCTATAAAGCTGTAAAGTTCATGACATATTAATGCCTTATTTAAAATATATCCCCATTGTATATTTCTAGCAAAAGACGAGGTACTGGAGATTCCGACTCATCAATGTCTTCCACGGACAGCGAATGTACGATGAAACGCACCAAATCTGATACTAGCTCCGCGCGGGGTGGAGACAGCAACCCCTGGGGGCCAATGTTCAAGAATCGTGAACATTTCTTAGAAATGCATATCTGCTAAGAATACTGCCTACCCTACATATATAGAAATATGGACTAATATGGGTTAGAGCACTTTATACATATATTTAAGATTATCTATATTTTATTATCGGTTTGTAACATATGAAAGCAGGATAACACAACCATTTTTGTAGATTTAGCTACAACTAAACATATTCTGACTTTATCTCATCTCCAGCATCATATGCTATAAACTGGTACATATTGGTTGGTATATCAAATATGAAATATTTTTCTTTTGGATAAGGGAGCATACAAATATCAGTGAATACTTGGAGGGAAATATATTACATTGTGTTGTATAAGTTTGTTGATATTATTTTTTGTTAGTTAAACTGCATGGTGTTCTTTCCATAAGTGACTATCCTCACTACCATATACTGTTGTAAGAATACATTATAGTGTTCTCCCTAGGACCTTTTCTCATGTAGGTGCAAAATTATTGATTTCACAATTTAGACCATCTTGATTTTAAATCTCATATTTAAGTGGTTGTACATAGATTCTTAGGTAATGTGAGCCTATTATTACAATCTCAATTGGGTGCAGCGCCCACTTGCTTTAATGCTGGGGAGATCACTGTATTATTACAAATTTGTGTCAAAGACCTCCCAAACATTAGAGCAAGCACGCCATCTTGTTAAAAATGACATGATTGTGGAAAACCTGTTAAAAATCTGTTTGCACATTGCTTTATGGATGAAATAAAAGGATAATTTTGATGGAAAGGACAGAGGTGATCACTGTACATGTACATTTATATGCATGAAATTTAGTTTAAAATTCAAACTGAAGATCATAATAACCACATCCATCAGTTTGGATGTAATTTCACAATTTTTACTGGTGATTTGTTCACAAAGAATAGAAAATGTTAATATTTTATATTTGCAAGCTAATATTTCTTTAAGAAATCATATTTTACTTTCATATTAGTTGATTTATAATGAAAAACAAAGATGCAAATACAGTTCGTAATCTTATTGAACATTCAGGGTATATGCTAAACCAAAGAGAGTCAACTTTTGCCCAAAATTATATAATTTATGAATTACTTTTAAAAACAGAATACAGATTCCATTATGATAGAGTGCCAAACTGAACCAACAACTTGGGCCAGAACTTCATTTATTTTCAAATTGTATAGCGACATCTTCTATGAATCTTTGTTTTACATTATATTTTTTATTTCATTTTATGAGTTTATTTTCCTTTTCTGTGTTTTCAAGATTGTAATCTTTACCAAAACAATAGTATGTAATGTTTAAGTACCTGATTGTGTCAACAATAAATGTATGTATAATCTTAGATATAAAGTTTTATGTTTGCATGTTTTGTTTATCGCATGACCATTATTAGTAAATAAGATTTCATCACTCAATGACATTGTACTATCCCACTAAACACACGGGGGATAAGCAAAACGAGGGCGAAGCCACGGACTGCGACTCGCGTAACTTTACACCGCAGCCCAGCGCCAAAATGGAGGGACATCCGGCAGTGCCTACTGCTTCTTCCGACAAAATAGAGAAATCCAGGAATTTTAAATGCTATCGTATTGTCTAATCGGTGACCAAAATATTACTCTGTATCTACTGTTGGTCTGTAGATAAGAAAATAAGCAGTTGTCCAGATCAAGCTAAAACAGTAGCAAAGTTCTGATTTTACCTGTAAAATATGTGCATATTATTTAATTTACTATACACTTGAAAGGAGTTTTAACACGTTTCTGATATCTAAAGGTTAGTTGAGGCTCCGAGTATAATTCGTGAAAATGATTTGATAATAGAATGTGTTCATGAGGAGAAAATTAGATTCAAACTGCGCATTCATAGTGGACGCAGTCCAGTAAACAAAGCTATTTCAACAACGCAACACAGCCTCCATTGATATTCTAAGCAACGCAGTCCAGCCGCGAACACGAAATAAATAAGAAAGTGTAAACTATATTCCTACGCTATTATTGTTTCAGGAAAAGAAAGTCAGCATCCAGATTATCATTCAAAGTTACGTTGATTAACATATATCTATTACCTGAATCAATGTCCCAAATTGCTATATTGTATCGTTTAAGACCTAGAAATATGGCAATTCAATAGCATATTTGGCAGAACAGTCGAGCGCAAGATGACAACGTAATATGTTTATTACAAACCAATTTGTGGATAGGATTAAATATATAGATAATTGGATAGTGGTGAGACTTTTTATAAGAAGTAGAAATGCGAAACAATTAACTTTTTGATGATGCAATAAAAGCTGTTGGGGAAGGGTACATTAACTATATCTAGTATTTAAGATATCAGGAAAATATCAAATAATTGGAGAGTTGGTGAGTTAATGTAATTTTGGATGATCTTTCCAACAGTCCATCAATATTGCTAGCTACCACAAATTCATGATTTCAGCTGTATTTGACAGCTTGTATATATTTGCAGAATTGATTGAGACACGATGTAAGTCTATTAAAATAGCCCTTTATATTCAATTTTGTCCAAAGTTGCTCTATTTCGGCCACACCTGTACACACATTGTGCTATCTACCTTTGGCTGTGATTGCGTTCAGCTTCAGATATAAAGCAACACTGAGTCGTGGACTGCGTTGGACAGATGGATGGACTGCGACTATCAAAAATTCCAATTGTCTATGTAATTGTACGTTTTCCGCTTACCAAATATCACACGAAGATGTAATTGTAACAACAGAACATGAATAATTATATTAATTCGATGTCATTTCTGATTCCTTTGTTTAAATCGGTATATTAGGGACAAATATTGACAAAATTACATTTTTTGTGGCAGATTTCGAATTCATTTGTGATCATGCTAAACTATTGGACAGCCGAGCACCAAGAATGCCATTGCAGGTGGAGTATGAATATGTTGATCACCGACTGGAACATACTAGCTATTCTGTAGAATATCCAAACCAATAATCTACCCCAAATCCTAACATGCCTTCCAAATTAAGTTTGGACTTACCGCCATTGTTCAGCTATAATGCGTTGTAATCTCGTTTTGAATTACGCGAGTCGCAGTCCGTGGCTTCGCCCTCGTTTTGCTTATCCCCCGTGAAACAGTAAGTGTAGAAAAGCTGTCTCGCTGGTCTATAATTCCAATGATATCTCATGTGTCAAAAAAGGTATTTTCAAAATGGTCACTATTTTTTTTAAATTATTTTGACACTTTTGATTTCTCAAAATTGGCTTCCAAATTCAATGGGGTGACCATTTTACATGAAAAAACTTACATTTTGACTATTAACATGAATAGTTTCATTATACTCATCAAGTGTTCATTGATAGTTTCAGGACTCACAGAGCTCAAGTTTTATCATTGATCTGGAAATAAGCATTTCAGATTCATGTTTTCTGCTTTCAGTAAGTCTTGGTATAGCACTGACATCCAAATAGGAACACATACACAAGGGCACATTACAAATTCTCTAGGGATTTACAAAATAGATCTAAAAACTGGTGGATTTCTTCAATCCGCCAGTTCATCAAATTAAAGCCAAATTAACTGAACCTATACAGTCAATATGGTACAACGAAAATGGGACTTCTGCGCATGTTAAAATTTTTCGTCAAAACTCAACTTTTGTTCAAGTTGATACGATTGTCTTTCGAACTAGAGACTTACCTCATTCGAAAGATCATAAAAGACTTTATCTATACTGAAAATCTTAGATCCAAACATAGTAGAATACGCCGTCAGTCCGCATTTGATTTTTTGAAGTGAGTTTCGTAGATCGTCAGATTTTTCCGACTGATATCGGGTTATCTCAAACTGGTTCGTTTATAAATACGAATTTGTTTACCGTTGTAAGGCGCATGCGCAAAATTGATTTATAAACCTTATTGGTTGATGGTTTTTCTCCTGCGCATGCGTGAAGTCTGATGAACACTTATGACGAAGACCGGAGCAAACATTACTAGCTCTTGAACGAAATTCCAAGATTCAGGTCATTTCGCCGTGTTTGCTAAGCGTGTATACGTGAATGACAAGCTGTTTTGAGTAGATCGGGTACCTGTTTTAGACACAACATTGATTTAGCTTGACATTGATGTGCACATTGGCACTTTTGAGCATGTTAATACAAGTTTTTACACTCTTAGCACGAGACGGGTTTTCGAAAAATCTGTTATCTGATTCACTCGATTATCGTATGGATATGTATTTCTGCTGACATTTCAACACCACATCACATAGAATTACGATGCAGAATGATAATAAAACACAAAACAACTACTAAATTCCACTTGTTATTTCACAGGAGGTAAAAATGCAAACTGCCTAAATTCTTTGTAAGGGTCGTCAGACATCGGATTGGCCGCCATATTTGAAATGAAAATATCACTAAATAGAGGTCTGCGCATGCCTCAACATTTCGACTGTATAGTACTTCTGTAATGCCTTGGTCACATACTGTAGATTGGGTTAATTTGGCGCCCGCTTTAATTTGGTGAATTTGGCAAAATTGAAAAATTCGCCAATATAAATCTTCGCCAAAATTTACAATGAATCCCCGGAAATTATCTAGGGTATTTCGTCGAGTGTATTTAGGTCACTTCCGGTTAAGTTTTTTCCAAAAATATGAAAAAAATGTCTCTCATAAATTGGCTCAGAACTGGTCAGTCACTTATTAATACTCAGGGAAAAACTAGAAAGGAAAAGTGCAGTATAGTAGCAGCATCAATCGAGGTGCAAAATGTAAAGGATGATCTCACAAAAATGTACAAACGTGGTGAATATTGCCAGTGGTCCTCAAAAGAAAAAATGAACATAAAATTCGCAAACAACGCGTAAGTTAATTAAATTTTTTTTTGCATATCCGCCAAATTAAATAGCCGCCAATAAGCCAAAAATGGCAAAATCGCCAAATTAAGTAGCGCCAAATTAACCCAATCTAAAGTATGCTCCGATCCATCAGCCGGCGCCTGGCCGATTGAGTGTTTTGTTCAATATTGTATTCAATTTTGAACAAAATACTCAATCGGCCGGGCACCGTAGTGAAAATCGGAGCAAATGTGACCAAGGCATTAGTAAAGTATAGACTTCACATAACCAGCACAATATGAGTACAGAACCGTATATTATGTTGTATTGCAGGATTCATATATACCTGTTAATAAAGCCTAGATAATAGACCTTTCCAAGAAGCCCTGCCACCTTTTGGTAAATCCAAGAAGCTATGATATATTGGCTAAATTGATAATGTCATTAGTTGTTATGTAAGTTCCAATTTGCCTAATCAAAAATGGGATAAACTAAGACCTACTGCATTAACTTACTGCTAATTAAGTACAGCCTTTGACTAATCTGGCCAATATTTCATAGCTTCTTCGGTGTACCAAAAGGTGGCAGGGTTTATCGGAAAGGTCAGTTCAGTTCACAGCGAAGGTTGCAAACATTTTCATAAAAAAAGGTAATCTTTGATAACTCATACACCATTTGACGGATTTACTTCAAATGCCTTGGGACATAGGTGCTATTTATCAAAACATGTTTTGTACGGTGGGATTTGCTACTCCATGGAGTTGCTGTTTTTTTTCTAGTTTGTAATTAGGTTAAAAACTTGTTGCAGAGACAAGTTCATATCCCCTAAATATTTTGATTCATAATCAGTCCTGTTTACTGTGATTCGCTCATGGTCCTGCACATTGTCACCATTCAATGGTTGATAGCCACCATAGTGCTGGTGCCTCATATGTCTTATATGTTCAATCCTGGTCATTGTTATTTCCCAATTGCTCATGGTCCTGCACATTGTCACCATTCAATGGTTGATAGCCACCATAGTGTTGGTACCTCATATGTCTTATATGTTCAATCCTGGTCATTGTTATTTCCCAATTGCTCGTGGTCCTGCACATTGTCACCATTCAATGGTTGATAGCCACCATAGTGTTGGTGCCTGGTATGTCTTATATGTTCAGATAGCATCAACACACTGTGGAACCGGAAGTAGATCGCCATGGTGTAAATTAAGTGAACTATAACAAGCCAGTTTTCATCTCCAAAGTAGTGTTCTTGAACAGGTGAGGCCTCGGGAAACTTTACCTCAACAACACTGTCTGCTAACCAGTGACCAAAGTTCAGGATCAGTATGAACCCCAGACACTCGGATAACCAATTATCAACAGGACCAGTATAGAAACTGGTCAACAGAATGATCAGGTAGACTTGAAGAATCACTTGAATAAGTGTCGAAGTCTGCCTCACCAAGCTTAAGACACTGATAATCTGAATGCTTTCTTGGAAAGTGTTAAAGTCGTAGATCAATGTGGGAAGGACAGAAATATAGGTGAAGGCAACATCGAAGCCAAGACCAAGTGATGAGATTAACATGATGACACATTCAGTGTCTATATTGCCATATCGCTTCATTTGCCCAGATTTTGTCAGTTTGTGCAGTATGTATGCACATACTGCTGCAAGCACTGGGTCATAAAGTGTTTTGATTACAGAAATGATAAGGATGGCTTTGTTGTAGAATGATTGAACATATAAAAGACACTCAAATGTGAACATCAGCGTCATAAACAGGATTCCAACAATCCATAAAAGGCCATAGCAATTCACATGATGACCTTCTTGAGGGTTAGCATCATTTCCACCAATCACATCATTGTTTTCATTCACTTCATTGTCTTCACCATTATTTCTACCAATCAGATCATGCTGTCTATTCACATCATCATTTGGACCACCATCACCAATATCATCTGGGAAGTCAACCATTTCAGCATACATGTTCATACGACTGTGCTTTAAATGAGACCAAGTATGTAGAAGTAAACTAGTTGCTAGGATACAGAACTCCATTTGAACAGGGTAGAGATAAATCTCTACATTGTCTGCTGTTCTCTGCATCGCATTTTCTTCATGTAGACATTCATTTGCATGTTTCTGTATAGCAGGGTCAAGCATTGATATGTTGTATCCATAGTCCTTACCCGGGAATATATTTTTTGATTCAAACAAAAATGAATATATCCACAGGAACAAGTTTGTTCCTGATGCGAATATAAACACAGAAGTTTTTCTAATGTTTGGATTGTTCTGAATGTTGCCATAGTTACACCACATCAAAAACAGCAGTTGTGATGGCATGTAAAATAGTGATTTAAAGATCAGCAATACAAGATCAATTATTTTTTCTTCATTTAGTTCCTTAAAATGTCGATAAACATCAAGACATTCAGTTGTGGCAATGATTCGAAATAAATCATAGATGAATGTGCCAACAAGGAATACAGTTAGGCAGATGAATGCTATTCCGTGTGTATCAGAGAGCCTCCAGGGAACATATCTCCATTGTAGCTTATTTACTCTCATAAATGCAAACAAAAATATAATTGTTGATACCTGTAGTGTCAACAACAATACTAACATGATAGTCTCAGTTACCCCATGTGATTTATTAATGGTGATCCAGCGAGATAGTCCAATAGTTCCAAGAATGGCCAGAAACACTGCCATTAGTATGTAACTCAAAGCAGTCCGTTTAGATTGGGCCATGCCTGCTAGAATTGTAAAAAATGACCTACACTATTTTGCTTCTCTTAAAATGTCTTCACTCTATTAAATGTTAAAGTATTCCAACTTTGATTATTTAAAAATGTCTGTATCTTTTCACTGTTACACTTTACTGCAAGACTCTTAATATTGGTGCCTATATGCATTGTAAGTGGTTGAATAAAATCAACCAGAAATATATCAAATTACATGTCAGAGAAACACATATACCATGTTGACTCACCAGCTATCTTCCATATTCTTCGAAATTCAAAACAAAAGTAAAATACACACATTGATTTTAAATGTGAGACTAACCAAGCAGCAAAGGTTAGCAATCTAGTGAATCAATAGGCGGGACACCCCTCCCCTAATGGCTTTGACTATCAGAGTTTTAATGTATCATTAGGTTTTCTGGGGTCGTGACAAATCTTAGATATATAAAAAATCCCCTGAGGTGCATTAATGCACCTAATGAATCAATGGACCATATCCCAACTCTACATCTGGAGCCTAAGTACCTGGTTTAGAATATGTATAACCAGGGAATATGTATTTCAATTCTAGAACTCCCAAATTCCGAGACAATCCCGGGGACAAGGTACTTTCCTACCCCCTGGGGACAATAGTACATGTAAAATTCCCGACCCTCCCTGCATGGGGGTCTCAAACAATCCTTTGAACAGTGGATGAGTGTACTGTCGGACTACATTGAGTACATTCATTTATGCATAGAGCTAAGAGCAATAAGTATATGTCATGCTGACCATAGGAACATACATGTACATGTATTTTTGTTTTATTTGCTTCTGTTATTTCTGTGTGCATTTTTTGTTTTTGAATAGTTTTCTTTATCTGAATACAAAGTCTATGTTCATGAATGACCCATTATTCATTGATGGAGCTAATTGAACTAAATAATATCAAAATTGTAAGTTTTTAATTCACAAATGAACAGTTGGCTTCCGACATCATAGACAGGTTCCAATTCAAATAATTCAAGTTTTTGAGGCATTTTTTAGAAAAAGCAACAGACTTATTTTTACTAGATCAGTTTTTCATGCTGATAAAGATATTAAAAGATGACAGCTCAACGGGGTGGTCACGACACTAAATTTTGGCATTTTTACCCCCCTAGGAAAATATTCTAGGGGGTACTATGAAACTAGTTCATAACTCAAAGGATATATGAGCTATTGTTCTGAGTTGTACACCATACATTGCTAGTACAAATATGAATACTATCCTAAAGTTATAGGTTGATACCCTTATTGGTCTCAGAAAAATACAAAAAACAGGAAAAAGATACATAATTTTTGTCTTGCCAATTTTATATTTGTAGCTTCAAGCAAAATATGACAGCTTTAACAGCTCAAAGTAGTATTCTAAAAACATTTCCAAGCTATGTGTGGTATTGTAATACATCTATTTTAGTTATGAAGTACTATTTTGTAATTTTAATATGACTTTATAGTGCCCTACCCCTGGAAAATTGAAGAAAGTGGATGTGGTGAATTTTATCATTTTGCAGCATTAAGTTAGAAACGTGTATTGATAGACACCAAATCAATAAATTCATACCATCATCAAATGTTAGTTGACATTCTAATTCATTTATTACTAGAATATAGGACTTAAGATATTTTATATGTAAGTTTTCAATTTAGTACATGTATCATAATGAAATCTAGTGTAATCACATACTAGAGAGGTTGGCATACAGTCTGGACATTGACATAAAGTCTAAACATTATAATCATCAATTGATCTCATTTGAGCAACTAGACTATGGTGGTCATCATGCACAAGTAATGTACAGTAGAACCTGCTAAGTGGAACAGCTCTGTAAGTGGAACACCTCCCAAGTGGAACGCCTTTTCAAAGTCCCTTTTTAAAAACCCATTGACTTAATGTTAATTGAACCTCTGTAAGTGGAACACCTCCAAACATGAACAGTGAACACCCCATATTGAAAAATTAACCTGCTAAGTGGAACAGTCAATTTCCATAGATTTCAATATTGATATACGTAAACAGAATTAATCTCCTTCAATGATATCTGGGTATGAAAACAGGTAATACTGTGATAATTGGCAAATTAGGACTTTAATGGATTTTAATGGATTAACCTCCGGTAGAGGTCAACATGTGATGCAACCAATAATTAATTTGATAAACAGCAAATAAGGATTTCATAAGATTATCATTCAGAAAATTGGATTAACCTCCTGTAGAACTGGACACGTGATGCTACCACTAATTAATATCCCTTGCTGTTTGTTTCAAACTTAATAAGTAAGATTAAAAATGTCATTTAAAAACAATTGAATTATTAGCAGTAGGAACAAGTCTTTAAAACTTAATTGCCTAATCTTTGTACCCGAGACTGGCACAATTAGGAGGATTGAGAATGTCAGAAAACATTTTTGGCAGAATGAGGAGGATTAAGAATGGCAGATACCTTTTTGAGTGAAATAAATGGATTATTAATGGTATATACCTGCCCTGTAATGAAGGGAGAATCATATTTCCAATGATACATATAAATCCTATATTTGATCTTGTATGTTCTCTGCGAACCCAAAACCTCCATAAGTGGAACACCTTCTAAGTGGAACGCTTTATGGCAGAACATAGAGTGTTCCACTTACACAGGTTCTACTGTATTTACATAATAATGTTATAAAGGAGCATGTAGGTTATCGCAAACAACTTCAGACAATTCTAACTTGAATTATGAATATTTTCTGACCATGAACATGGGTATATCTTTTAGATCTATTCATTATCTTCAAGAAAAGTAAATATAATGATTGAAACTAGACCTAAGTGATATTAAAGGGAATGGTCCAATCAACATACTTTTTACTAAAAATGTTGACCTAATTTTTACCAAAGATGCAACCTTTAATCATATTGTTGAATGCATAATTAGAATATGCTTTGAGACATGTTCTATTTCCTAAGAGGAAAAGTGGATTGCTCCAGGGACTTTAAAGACACAGAATTGTTAAAATGATGGCATTTTTGGTGAAAATGAGGTCAACAACTTTGAAAAAATATATTGATGGGTTGATTGCTAGTGAAATATCTCTGAGTCCGATTGACTTTATTATCCCTGTATACCTGTCTTCATGGTCAGAAAATAGTCATAATCAAAGATATAACTGTCTGAAATTGTTTGTGATTACTTACCTGAACCTTTCCAGGGCAAATCAGGAGTGACAAAATTATTTCCACCAAATTTTTGACATGTCTTCAAATACGATAATATTTTCTTCATAAGATAGAGTGTCACTTGTGAAATTTATTGATTGACCTGAGATCGTACCACATCTTTATGACATAGTAGCGAAATAGCCATATTGAATGATGTTTGTTTAATTCTTGTTTGCCACTTTTCGACAATTGTCAAAATTTGGGGGTTTGGGGGAGGGGTACAATTAGGTTAAAAAATTCACCTGATTCAGACTATCCTTAAAGGGACCCAACACCTTACAAAACTTCTTAACGGAGGGGAATAAGGGAAAATGCTTGCCGGATTCTGAATCTGTCTATTTTTTAATGATTTTTCACCGTCTTAGAATTTCAATTTTTTTCTTTTGAAAAAATGAGATTTGCATTGTTTTCCAATTAGACAAATGAGTAAACATGAATAGCTCGAAATCTAACGGTGAGATTTTGTTTTAAAAAATCATGGATATCAAGGCTAAATATAGCTATACAATAAACATAAAAAAGCAATGCTTTGACTCTTCATATTCACACAAAAAATTAATTAGTATATGAGGTTTGATATTTGTGAGAATAAGTTGTACAAGTCGCAATGCTCTACAAACACCAGACTACAGGGTGGATTAGGATCAATGACACAAATAAAAATTAATTTAAAAATATTTCATGATAATCATCTCAAACAAAAGCAGTTAGCGAAGGATACATTTTATTACACTCAATAAATAGTTATCACTTTTGACTATATATACATATCTCATGGGAATGTATTTCCATCTGCTCAAGATATCATATTTTAGCTTCGAAAATCACAATCGTTGGATAATACATTTGTCTCAGAATGATAGGCCACCCTGTAGCAATGTAGCTTTCACTTGAAGTGTACCCTTGAGAATAATGAACTTACTTTCAAATTGGTCTTGCTTTTGTGGTGTATGTGGCTTTTTAGCAAATCTGCCACGCTCATTTCTTTCCAGAACCATCTTGTTCACATGTAACACTAGGCTATACGCGCATGTATAGACAGATGACATAGATATACATATAAATTATATATTGCACCTGTATTTACTTACATGGGAATATTCCCTTTGGAAAAATGCAAATGCATGAACATATATTTTCATCTTATATATGACTTCAAGCTAACATATTATTTCATATTTATATTTTCATAGTTAGTCTGACATAAATAATAGATCCATGAGAACAATATTCTTTGTTTTCTTAAAAATTGATGGGTTTACTGTGAATTCAATAAATTACAATTTGCAAGGGGTAAGTATACTGTATGACCTTAGTTGCAAAGTACTGTTTATATATGCAGCTCAATAGCATAAAATATGTTGAATGAAGCATATGGCATGGATTAGTCGTGTGACACACAAACTGACCAATACATGAGGGTATTAGCTACTTTTCACAGAAACCAAAGGAGGACAGTGCTTTTATTTGAACTGGGAGCTTACCTCCACACGACTGATCATGTGACCATGGTGTTGGGTCCCTTTAAATGAGCACTGATTCACCCGAGAGCATAACTTTTTCAAAACATGTAAGTGTTATTTTTGGACCACTCACATTAATGTTTCGTCTAATTTTCCCTCAGAGTTTCATCATCATTGTCCAAATCTTAGGCCATATTTGTTGAGATATATAAATGTTCATTATTAAAATCTTGCCTTCCTTTGCAGTTGGAAAAGATTCGGCATTAGGTGTTATAAGTCCCAGAGCACGATAAATAAATAAAAATAACAACAAAATGACATAGAACTGATAGACGTTTTCTCTTGTGCGTGTCAGCCATGGTCTACCAAATTGCTATTCAGTAGGAAGAAACTCATTTTTCAGTTTCCATTTTAATTTCCTGACAAATAGAGCGATCATCTCAGGATTTTTTCTATGATCTATGTGT